CCAGGTAACCAGAATTCTCAGGGGAAACTCCACAGAATGCATATGGATTTATATGCATTATTTGGTATTATATTTAGATTAAAGTATGTCGTGAATTCTAGGTCACAATCTAAGAARAACAGTAAAGATATTTATATATTACTATCTCCCCATGTACACTGAGAAAATTAAAATGTTTAGGAACCACAGCAAAACCATCAAGATTACAATCAAGGTTTAAAGAGACTCAACAAACAGACTTCTCTTGGAAATCAAAGTCTAGAGGGGGCATACACCAGGGGCAAATTATCAGGTCACATTAGTAACATACTCTACCAGGGAGAAAAGCCTGGTTCCTTGTGGGATTCATTTAACTAGACACACAGGCCCTTAAAGCAGTTTGAAATGCCCTGAAACATCCTGTCAAGCTCATAGGTACTGCTGCTGGAGGATGGTGTAGGTCCTGAGTTGTATTTTCTAGTCCATACGCAAATTACTTGGGCATCACAGATACATCTAGAGATAGCTGAGATSGTTTAGGGTGTGTATGCAGCTTCAAGCCTAGAAAAAAATGAAYTAACTCCTTAAGGAGTTGTTTGAAGTACTAAATGGCCTGCTGGGTAATGTTATGWTCTTGTAAGACCAAATCCATCTTTCAAGGTAACTCCTCACTGATAACACCTTCCAACACAGAACCTACTCTTGAAGTGRGAATCTGAAAAGCCTCTAAAAAAAAACCAAATCAATTCTTTAACAGCCCTGAAACACAGCTCAGCCTACACCAAAACATATAAATTTCTGTTCCTCAGCCTGAAGCTGCAGTCTTTCATCAACACACCTCCATTACCAGTGTAACATCGGAAACCTTCCTTCTTTTGTACTTTACCAGTTCACAGGAGGAAGGTCCTTGAGAAGTTTAAAAGTAAAACACAAACAAAACACYACATGGAACACAAATAAACTAGATCAAGGCAAGCACCATCTATAAATGGAGCAGAATATAGTTAATTTACGTAGAATATAATTTTTAAAAGTTTAAGGATACTGAAATGAGAAACCAATCCCTATATTAAGATTAAACACTGAGTTCCAATGTCAAAGACCAGTCAGAGAGCTAGAGGTATAAGGGACAGATTAAACATCAGTTCCCAAGACAGGGCTATACCAAGGCAGCACTCTGCAATGCAAAGTGCAGTGCTGCACAGGAAGCACTAACTTTTCTTCCTTTCATAAGGATTACCATCCATCTACATGTCAGAGGCTAAAAACTACCCCTAGGAGAGTTCACCAGGAATACACACACTGCTATAAGCAGGTGTCAGAAAAAGCAAGYCCACAAATCTCAAAGAGTCAGAGCTAACCATGTGTCATAGTATCAGATCAAGTTTCAAAAAGTACTTGCCTTCCTACACCCCTAGTTTTACAACAAATCTGATTGAAAAAAAAAACCAGCTAAAAGAAGCTATGGCTGTCTCTAGTGCAACACATGGCACATAACATTAACTTTGCTCCATTTGGAAGTGCTCAGAGCTGTCTCCAACAATATTACAGATTTTCAAYTGACAAGTCTGAAGGGACTCATCAGTTAAAAATCACCAGAGAAGTCTTCATAACATTCTCCTCTTTACTCCAGATGAATGAAGATGCCTCTGTTAATAAAGAAAACTTTCTGTAACTGCAATAGTGGGGCAATTCAGCTCAGTGAAGTTGAASAGAATAAATTCATAACACCATTTCAGAAATACTTCACATCCATAAATTTACAGGATTTATGTATATGACTGCTGCTCTTTACATATTCAATGACAATCAGGATATAGAGAGTCCCACCTGCATTCTGTGGGCTTCACTACATGCCACTTCAAACTGTATAAAAAGTACAAATGTTTTAAAGTATTTATTCCATTTCATCTTTGATTTCACCAATGTACATTTCTAGAAAACATGACCTCAGTCCTTATTTAGTGGCTTAGAATATCCTCAGTAGCACCTTAAGAAGTTACTAGTTCCACAGAAAACTCATTAAGTTGAAAACTCCTCATCTTTAGAAGATAAATTCTCTTATTATTCAGGAYAGAACTGTTTTGCTAGTGTTTCAACACAGCAGAATTTACAGGGGCTCTAGCTCACCAACACAAATATTCATGSTATACACACAATTCTACTGCTTGCTTTCAGCATTATAAAATGCAGCACATTCAGCTCAAAGCACATATTCTTATGTTGTACTATCTTAAATATTCATGTATGTATAAAGACCATTGCAAATACTTTTTATATAAATCTGTGTAAAAAAACCTGTTAGGAGTCACAATTACCATGTTAGAAAATGTCTTAAGCATCTTAAAGAAAGAAAAAAAAAAGTGCTCACTTTGAAGCCTTCTGACTAGAAAAATTTCAAGAGCTTATGTTCAAAATCCAAAGCTTAACAGAGGGCTTTAGGACTCTGGTCACTGACACTGCAACTATCCACATAAAGTAGAGAGGCAGCTTAGGAAYGATTAGTTTTCATTAATCACAGTGCACATAACACTGCTGACACTGCCAGAACCTTGGCAAGAAGCAGAGCCTGTGCCTCAGTACTTTTACCTTAAAGCTAACAATGATTGTGATCAATACATGAAGTAGATAACCTACTTTTGAATAAATAAATGAATCTGGGTGTTAAGCAGGGGGAGAATGTCTCTCGAGGTCAAATGATAAGGCAAAATGTATCCCTGTTCCTCTACAGGAGGGGCTATTGCAGCRGCAGTATCCCAGAAAACACTGGCAGCAGTGGTACCTCCATTTGATAAGCTGGAGAGCTCTCTGCTCTGGGCTGTACGGCGTTCCTTCTAAGCAACCCAGAAGGTAAGGCCTCAGCTTTCTTTAAGCCCATCATTTATTTAACAGCAGAGCCAAACTTCATGGCTTTAAAGTTAATCATGAATACTGACAATTCTCAGAGACAGCAAGTTAAACCTTCTGCTAGTGCTGATGAAGTAAATACAATCAAAAACAGAGGCTATGTCAGTTTTCCTCTAGTAGCTAGAACATCTCACCTATATAAGTCACGATAAAAATATCTTACTGAAAACCAACTATTTTATTTACTAGATCGTAAATCAAAAAATAAACAAAAGAACTGAACACTATGTCTGAGCTATCCTCACTAGCTTCCTATTCAACAGCTTGCTCAGGTTTTTCCAGGTTTTTTACCACTCAATCACAAAACAACTGAATTTGACAGGGACCTCTGGAGTTCATCTGGTTCAATACCCCGCCCAAACAGAATGCAATTTCCAGGACCACTCCAGATGCCTTCTGACTATCTCCAAATATGAAGATTCCACCATCTCTCCTGACAACCTGCTCCGACACTGTTACCCTCACAATACAACTGTGCTACCTTAAGTTCAGGCAGAGTCTCCTGTGCTTCCATTTGTGGTTATTGCCTCTTATCCTGCCACTGGAAACTACTGGCAACCACTTTGCTCCACCTTCTTCACATCTTCCCTTCCCAATGCACTGATGAGACTCTCACCCTGAGCTTTCTCTTTACTAAACAATTCCAGCAATTCTCTCAWCCTATTCTTCATGTAAGAGAAGCTCCAGTCCTATTATTATCTTAGTGGCCTTTCACTGGACTCTATCCGGTAGCTCTGTTTCTTTTACTGGGGGGCCCAGAAGTGGACCTAGTACTCCAGATGTGGCCTAAGATCACTCATCTAAACTGAAATCCTTGTCTAGTATTTCTTAAAATTCTTATTCTATTGCAGGCAGTGAAGAAGTTGCATCTATCCAGTTCAAACCACATTTCACTCATCAGYATTTTGCTAGATGCTTCCTCCAATCTGCCCTTTTCCAGTTTCACTGACTTCCCACTGGATCCAATTGCCCAAGTTTTGCTGCTTATCTTCAACCAGATTCTTCCTCTAGCTACTCATCTAATTCATCAACTAGCATTCTACTGCATCAACCTCTAGCCCTTCAAACCCTTTTCTAATCCTTCATTAGTCATCTAACAGCTGAYGATCCTGAAATAGCAAACTAGAGAAAGATGTAATTAAAATCTGAGCTGAATTAGTTCCTTAATGCTGCCAAAGAAAATAAATTACTTTTAAAAATACTACAACATTTACATACATTATTACAGAGATTAATCAATATCTACATACTAAACAGGAAGAAAGCTTTGTTTTTCAAGTACACTTCTTGCAGTTTTCAGTATGGAACTTTCTCACAGTAAATGCGGAGCAAAGGTTCTGTTCTGCTCAACAGGTCAGCATTTTGCTGAGTAGAACACACACACAGATTGTATAAGAACACCACCTCTGAAAAGAACTTCACTAGAGCAAGCAATGTCACAAGTCAGAAGACTTTCAGCGCAACGGTAAAAAAATTACTTTGACAACTTATCACATACTGCTTCCCTCAATTAATAATTCCTTAATGAAAAATCCAGGCCTCAAGAACCCTTTATGTGAGCCTTTAGGGACTCCATACCCCAAGTAAACAAGTGACGTGAATTTGGGAGAGTGTTGATTATGCAACTGTACAAGAAAATCAGTGCTGCTAGGACACAAATCCACACTGAGAGTTAAGGTGTAACAGTTATAATTAATCTGTCTGGTTCAGAAGCTGTCAAAATTTTATTTTTTAATTTATTTATAGATCAAAAAAGATGAAATTCAACAGACTAAGTCAGTCTGCTCAAATTCTTGAGAGGAAATTCTAGTACAAGCTTTTTCTGTTGAATATAATTCCTTTCTAACTTAGAGACACTGCAGCCATGGTTTTATCGTCTGGCAAACTAGGCCTTCCAACAAAACATGAATTGGAAAGCCATATCTGTTCTGTACTATAAAATCAACCACAAGACAGGTATGAAACAAACATTTCAAGTATAATACAAAATACTAGTTTTTTACCTCATTTTCAGAGCTATTTCTAATACAACTGCATTAGCTACATTTGTTTTGTAAGAGTAAAGTTTCAGCCACACTTTATATACACATAACAAAAACCAGTGGATCACTTACCAAAGAATTCAAATGAAAAGGGGTCCCTTCCACCAAAAAACTCCCTAAAGACATCTTCTGGGTTGCGGAATGTAAATCCAAAATCAAATGGATTATCATGATATTTTCCACCTGCAAAAAAAAAGTTCAATTTAAATTACTATCACACATTCTKACTAACAAAAAACTTCAGGCCTATACAGTACTTGAATCATCTAAACAAGTTCCAACATTTCTTTCAGGTAACATTCAAGCTAAGCAAACACATTACTTCATTACTTTTTGTAATTGTTTCTGTTTTCAGATAACAGTAACATCTTTTAAAATAACTAGAAAAATGGTAAAACAATTGTAATCTCAAWTTTAAAAAGACTAAATTTTAGGCCTTTAGGCATTTCCAGATTCCTGTCTTGAAAAGACACCTGCAGAAAATGACCTTCAACCAAAACAGCYGTCAACGTACCTCCACCTCCATTTATTAGGCCTTCTTTTCCATATCTGTCATAGATGTCACGTTTTTTAGCTACAAGGAGAAGATAGACATCATGTCAGTAAACAGATTMATTAATTTTGAGAAAAAAATAAAACCACTTAACTGGTATTCTCTGCTAAACATCTTCTCAAAACTAGTTTATATAAGAAAGTTCTGGTACATTAACTGCTGAACATCTTCAACAAGGACTGCCAAAGCAATTTAGCTTCAGAAAGAACAGTTACTGAACTTCAAACTTATTRCCACTGAGTTGCAGAAGCTCTGATCCTGCTGTCTCAGAAGTTTGATATAAAAACACACTTCATATGAAGTCTGCCTTCAAGAATAATATGGCAATTTTCTTCTTCGCACAGGTTTYGTGCAAAGCTTTAAGACTGTGAAGGGTTTCTGGACTCAACGTGCTCCTCCAAACAAGTCTAATCATAAAGTTGGTCACATCTTGCTTGAATAAAGCCCTAATCAAATCAACTTCCAAGAGAAGATTCTACAGTCTCTCTGGAACACAGTTTCAGTGCTCAAGYATTCCCGTCCTTCTATCCCACCTGCAAAYTTTGACCATTGCTTCTTTTCCTTTTATTGCAAAAGACTGAGCCCATTGTGGGAGAGTTATGAGAACGGAAGAATGTGTTTATAKGAGTGACTGCAAAACCCCTAGAATGAATTATAACCACTTCTTCTAGCTTAATAATGGAGAATGAAGTGATGTTACAAAATGCCATGGAAGGAYGTGACTCAAACTGCTGGCTCTCTATTATTTCAGAAGGCATGGAATGACTRTTAATTTCACTGAAGACCAGCCACACAGTATTCATGAGAAAGGGGAGAAAAATGAGCTCTACATTAGTGCATAAGATGAGATGGCACTTTGGTACTGGAAGGAAACCTGAACAGCTTAAAGAGGCAAACAGCTTACTTTGCTTGCACTGCTGTGGAAATATCAGTCAAAAACCAATCAGGGCATTTGATTTTAGTGTCTTAATATGATCATGCTTTTCCCACTGGAATCTCTTCAGAGAAAGATGTTTTTAAAATTTAAACAGCATCACTGAAAGAACATGCAGTTACCTCAAACATATGCTGGAAAGYAAAATACTTCTGACTAACAGGAATTAAAATTTTATATAATGGTTATCATCTCAAATAACAGGAACTTGCAATGAATTCACACACACACAAATCCCCAAAGCTTGATACTTTATCTGTACTGCCTTTCTAGAAAGTAGTTTTAAAGAAAGTARGTTAACCAACCTATCAAATTAAGGAGACCAAAGCAAGAAGGTAGATAAACTGTCACGAGCAGGAAACAGCAAGGGTGACCTGAGGGCTCACAAAGCCCAAAATTCATCTTGAAAAATGCTACATTTTTGAAACCACAAGGGAAGTGTGTTCAATGATCACCCAATTTCAGTACTCTTTGCTTATGTAATCCCTTACAAAACTATTTTTCTGCCAAAAATCTGTCATCATTCAAGCCTGTAATGATGTGAGAAATTTTCGTTAAGTCTGCAGAACAGTTGACTGTCTCACAACCACTGGGCTCAGGATTCTGGTAYTCCTGCTGCACAAATGATTGTTAAGACACCAGTAACTTAGGATTTGGTCTAGATCCAAAAACTGTCAGCACTTTTAAGAGGATGTTCTAAAATTCTAGCACTGTACTGTTTCCAAAGAACTTRAGAGGTCTGTGCAACAACCAGACCAGTATTCTATTTTTATCCTGCTCAAAAAAAAATAGCTAAGAAGGATAAAGTATACTCTAAAAGACAAATATACAATGAACTAATGATAGATTAAGTTCTGTTTCTCCCCATCAATTAAGTATCAAAACCAAGCAAAGAAACATGGTGTACAAGACTGCAGCTCAATAAATCAGGCTGAACTGTGAGAGGTAATCTAGATGCTGCTAGTCTTTAAATATAGCTTTCCCATGCTCACTGTCTCAGGTGAAATCAAGGACACTTCAGAAATAGCACATAGACAGCTGTAGTCAATTACAGAGGAAAATAATCAAAGTAGTTTAAATCACTTTGTTATGATTCAGACTCCTTTTGTCAGAACATTGGCAAAAGTTAACAATACTCTTCAAGCAAAAAGATATGGATGAACTGTAAGCTGAATTGCTGCACTACATGGGTCAGGCTAAATAGCTCTTTCAGAACAATTCCAAATAAACACTACCTTTAGTATCATAGTTATTGAATTTACAGTACTCACCCAAAYGCAATCCAAATTTTCAGCAAGGTTTACAGTATGTTTAGGCTTTGTCAAGACTGTTACAAAAAACAGAAGCAGTAGGCCCAACAGTAGATACTTCAGAGTTGGTCTAGCCTAGCTTTTATAGGATAAACACAATAATACCGCTATACTGATGGTGAAACTAGCCTTATTTGCGAAGATAAAATTAATCTTGGTATTCACAGACATCTCTTCAGAAATTTCTGAAGAGGGYCTGGCAGACACGAAATTTCAATTTCTAGTAGTTTGGTTACTCATCTAGGGAGATCCTGAAGTTTTTGTTTCAAATTTTCTGCTTCATCTGTCTTATCTGCAAGCTTCCTTCTCTTTCTCTTCCAAAGGAAGCAGTCAAGTTGGATGGTAATCAAAATTACAATATCCTTGTAAACATTTTCAGTGTGATCCCCAGAACAGAGACAGGCAGTCCTAGAGCCCTTTCCAAATACTTACCATCTGACAAAACTTCATAGGCCTCAGCTACTTGCTTAAATTGCTGTTCCGCTTCCTCTTTATTGTCTGGATTTTTATCGGGGTGCCATTTTAGTGCCAATTTACGGTACCTAAGTGGAAGGGGAAAAAAGGATATTTTACTCTGAAATAATGGGATATGCTACACAGATAAATACAATGTTTCAAACAAGTTGACAGGGATTAAAGTATTTAGAAATTCCTAGTGCTTTGTATCTTGCATCTAGACTGGTACCAACAGATTCTGCAGGTACACAAAGAACCACCTACTCAGAAATGCTTYAAAGAAGAAAGTTAAGTTTGGGTTTCTTTACTTATTCTGGTATTATTCCTRTGCATTTCTGATGATCAACATCTGCCAGACATAAGCAAAGCATCCCACATATCTCTGCTGTGGGCTTTTCCTTTGAGCTCTATAATTATTTGATACTAAAACCAGCCATAGGAAGCATCAAGAAGGATCTGGTACATTCCAAGGWGATAAAGCCCCAAGAATACAATGATGCCAGACAGTAACAAACTAACATCAATACGTTCTTTGATCTGCACACAATTCCTATCCTCAAATGAAATATTTTAGGCTAAGCGTTCATAACTATTTAGAGAAGCAAACCTAAGCTTACACTTAGGCTGATGTGTTTGCAATAACCCAAGATCACAGTTGAAACATTTGAGTTGACAAAGTAGCATGTGSGGGGATTTGCAAAACAACAAGGGAGAACAACAAAGTGTGACTCCAGAAACCAAGTAATTATATCAATAATGTCATAACATTTATACAAGTGACACTCACGCTTTTTTGATATCCTCTGCTGAGGCATGCTTCTGCACTCCCAGAACTTCATAGTAATCCACCATGTTTCAGGAGTTGTCTTGGTAACAACAGCTGAGTGTTTCAAGTCCTGCAACAACAACAACAATGACTTGTAAATGAAGTCTGTAGGACCCTGGTACTGCCTAGTGCCAGAACTGATTGAAGAGAGGCAAAGCTCAAACATTCAAAATCCCMAAAACAAAACCACTTTATTTTAGGTCAAGAGATCAAACAATTACTTTAATTCGGATTTTTATGTGCTTTAATCCCACTGAAACACAATACATAAACACACAGATAAACAGGAGTTCCRGAAACAGATTACACTGATAAGCTAAATTTAATCAGTGTTTTAAGAAGAGTATCTGGTTTTTATGCAGTTWTTAATAACTCTGAATGCAAAAGTTCACCTAATATTATCTATGGCACCTGTCATGTCTTAAACACATATGGGCATAAACAAAGGAACCCATCTCTCACAACTGCTCTACAAACCATTACTTACACTGAGAAGCTCCCTTCAGGAAAGTAATGYATGTGCAGGTCTTGGATATCTAAAACTRCACCTATTGAGTTCRAAAAGGCTTTCTTGTACTCAGACTCTGACAAAAAATGTGCATGTTGCCAACGTTACTGAATATCATTTGCTTCCTGTAGGCTCACTAAGAGAAGCACACAGCCAGGCAAGATTGCTCCYACTGCAAGGCAACCAACCAACTCAAGTGCAGAGGCACCCAGTGCTTTTTAGTATAAAAGAACAGTTTCTACAAGAGTCCTAAAAACCCTAAAAGTTGGAAGAAAAAGCAATTTAAATACTGACAGCTYCTTATCAACATTACTGAATAATTACAAACAACTGACCATTATTTGAACTAAATGAGCACTGAGATGAAGAAACTAAGAAGTTTAAAGAATGTTTAGTGTCTTCATGCAATGTCAACTCTCCAAGACTTTAACAAATCTCTATTCTGGCAAAACTTCCAATGCCCTTTCCATCCTACCACTGCTGGTTTGTTTCAAGTTTTATGAACAAGGAAACAGTGACCTTTTCTAGGAGTTATCAACTTGTTGCAGGGAAAGTCACCCAAACACACTCAGAACATAACAATACAGCAATGTATTAGTCATATTTTCTTATCTCATGCATCAAGAACAAAAATTCATTGAAATTCAAGTTGTTCAGTGTTTTTCATTTTAGCCCCAGCAGTCTCAGTCTTCTTTTCTTTCACATAAATGCTGAAAGAGTCAAGTATGATGTAGTCTAGTGAAATATTCTGAAATTAATTTATTGTACTACTTTTACATGTACCTTTTAACATCCTAGCATATAAACATTAAAGAAAGACTTAAAGATTTCCTTTTAAAATAAATTGGTACATCTTTGAAATACGTTCCTGCTGTAGGTTAAAACTTAATTAACTTTAATTATGGATGTGGTTACACACATATTTTCCCAAATGGCAAAACCAGTTCAAGAGATACTCGGCCATGCTTCCTCCCATCTCAAACTACTTATAGAAGCAAATGTATTGAAGGACCCATGTGTTTAAAACTTGGGTGGCTTTAGCAAGCTACTTAACCATAYAGTGCCACAAACACAAAATTAAAGTGTAGCAGGTAAATAGCGCTTTGCCCATCAAAAAAACAGTAAGGGTATAGTTAATACCGTGACCAACAYCAAAGGAAGTTGGGGGAGGTACATTAAAATTAACACTTAGAATGCCAGTAATAATATACTAATGGCATGGTTCAATACGAAAACATACAGATTACCAAAAATATCCCAGGATACTTGCTATCAACTGGCCTCTCTAGTTTAGCTGTTTCCCACACAATAATTAGAACAGGTCTGTGAACACAGGGGCAAGCAGCAAAGTCAGTATGGGTTAAGTATGTTATCAAATCCTATAACCATCCTTATGAGCAATAGCATATATGAACACATAATTTACAAAAATAAATAAGAAGGGGAACCTAGTATGAGTCAGGCTTAAGCCTAGAGGTCAGAGTCCCTCCTAWCAAGAGATACCAGCCTAAAACTGGAAAGTAAAAAGCAGAACAGGGCAGGAACACACAACATAACACTAAGTGTTCTTTCCATATTCACCTTTTCTTAAATACAAGACTTTCATTAGCTCTCCTCTCAATTCAGGTACCTATCTTAGAAGAAAATTTAAAACTCAAGCTTCTAACTAGAGTAAGCACATAAGAAAAGCAACTTAGGTTTAAAAAATAAATCACATCTTTTCCTAGGGAACTTTGTGCATACAGGTAGACATATTGATTTCAACACATATTTCTTTAACTACTTTGCTATTTGTTTAAAAACAATATTGCAGTGCTGTTAAGCTCAGACTCAATAAAAACACCAATATATCCTAGATAAGAGAAGCCTGAAGTTGGGACCAAAAACCGAAGCTGAGACAACCTGACCACCTCGTAACAGATGACTCTGAGCCTTAAAAGCAACTCCTTCAAGATAGAAGAATCATTTGTTTCAAAGAAATGTCTGAGGATTGCATATTCTGTCTTTACTAAGAGCGTTACTGCTCAGTTTTTACTTGCCACTAATAYGGAGTCTGGAATTAAGACAAGCCAGAAGCTTTCTAATGAAAACAAATTGTTAACATTTTCCTTCTCCTAATCAAACCAAAGAGTCACCAAAGTCAAGTGACAGTAAAAATTCATTTCTGATTTATTGTTATTTCTATCTGCTGGTTATCATTACGCATAAACTGTACTGCTGAAATTTTAATTATCATAGGAACTTTTTTGTGTGTAAAAAGGTTTTAAAAATATTTACAAGACAAAAACTCATCTGCAACTTTTTTTGTCTAGCTTAAGAAAAAACATGTCAGCCATTATTTAGCCTGTCAGCAGCCAGTGGGACCAACCAATGTCTTGATYTGAAAGATAGGTGTCTGCTAAGGAAGGCAGGAACCTCCCTTGGAACAGAGAATATGACCTCCTCGCCTTCCCTCCAGATTACTATAACTTTGAAATTAAGGGCGCTTTCAGGCGAAGATACCGGAAAAGGAGTAACAGTTCTCTTTCCCACGTGGTAATGGCAGGCTGCACCGGCAGGAAAAACACGACGGGCCTCCTGTACAGCCAACAGGGACAGCTGACCCCAGTGCCCCTCCAGATGGTGAGACAAGCTGCAGCAGAGGGTCCTGGAGCATCAGTAGGGGACAGCAGGGGCTGGCTCAGCCTGGGAGTGACAAACAAAAGGTAGCTGAGACTCCAGGTCRTGCCTGAAGCCATAGGAAAGTCGGGCATCTGGTTACAGTGCAGCAAAAAGCCCCGAAACAGCAGCAGAGAACAGCTGGGGCTGGGCAGGGGATCGCTCCCTGGTAGCTCACCAGCGATGGCTGGTTCCTGGATCCTGGCACTACTGATACGGAGGCCMCTCCACAACGGATGTTCCCAGGTCTGGGCACAGCAGGCACTGGCTCTGGGCTCCCAAGAAGCAAGGAAAGCAAGTCAGTAAGCTCCAGCCACCGTGCTGAAGGCAAAAGGGAGCAAAMAAGAGGCAAAAAACCAAGCCGCAACTGTATCTCTCATGAGAGCTATCACATCGGGTGCCTCCCACAACCAAACTCATGCGAAGAGAGACAATTGTCCCTCGCCCCGCTCCCCCAAACTCTCAGGAAATCTCGGGCTGGCTGTCAACTACTGCAGTATCCCCAGAATTGGGATGGGGGGTTGTGGGGGGAGCAGCGACTATCCCRGACACACAACAAAAAACAGAACAAAGAAAAAAAAAAAAAGACCTACAATGAAAAAGAACAGAAACCAAAGATGGGATGGGATAAAAAGACATCCCCAGGACAACACCCTACACAGGCCCAAACACCTCCCTTCCCCCAAAAGAAGCTAACAACACTCCTAGAAACACAACCTAGAAAAATCTCTGTCTGAAACCTTCTCAGGACAGAATTATTTAAAATATTCAGTCAAGGAAACAGCCACCATCATCTTATAATAAAACAGAATATGGATGACCACTGACTTAGAAAATAGAAGACCGCAAATTGAAAAAAAAAAATTAAAAAAAAACCCAAAAACCAGTACTTTTAATGCTAGTAGGAATCTGCATGGTGAAAATGCCTGCTTCCAAGATGCAAACCATAAATCTCCCGGCAATAAACCACTCAACTGTCCTAACCTAAATGACATGACAAAAATCTTCTTCCAACACTCAATCTGTCAAACAATTTGTCTCCAAATATACAAGCAAGCCTCATTAATTAGGCACTTGAGARTTTTTTCTAAAGCCAGGAGGAAGCCAGCCCACATTAGCTGATTTCCTGCCTCCATCCACAGAAAATCTTCAAAATTTCAGAAGAAAAGACAAGCAAAAAAGAACCTAGCTGAAAGAAGATGTTTCACGGCCTTGTTTGCTTGCAAAGGTCTGTAGTTCCTTGTGCTGGGAACTGCACCATGTTTATCGTGTGCTATCAGCTACTCCAACTCCTTTTGTGGGGCGTGAAAATCAGACAAATGTTTACGTGAACCAAAAGTTTCCATAGTTTATACGTTTCTCAGTCAGCACAGGAGAAGGCAGCTTTGTTCTGGCTTACAGAGCAGTGGCCCTGAAATACGGACTCAAGGCAAGTGACAGGGGCACACACCCAGGCTCGGGCCCTTCTCACACAGCTCAGCCCAGGACTCAGCCAGAGTTATCCCAAAACCTGGCTCATAAAATCTTTACATCACACTCCTCAGCTACATAGAAGGCATGAGAAGTATTACAGAAGATAAATATGTAAAGAGCTCTAAACTTTTACAAGATCAGATGACAAAGAAAAGCAAGCAATCAGACAAGCAACCAGCAGGGACAACAAAGCAGCCCCCCTAACTAAATACGGGAGGAAAATATCCAAACAAGAAATTCTTAGAGCAGCCAGGAGGGAATTCAGACAGCAAGGGGCATGCGACCTTTGAAGTCAGCTTAGTCTGAAAAACTTATCTATTTCTGTCCATGAAGCAACGGGCAGCACAGAGAGTCCTGAAAGAGGCCAGAATAGCTCGAGCTTAGTGACTACAGCAGTCACCTGGAGAGCAGGACGGAGTTCCAAACTCCTGATTCATGCAGTTCACAGAAGCAGCCAGTCATCAACATCCTCTTCGAGTCTCACAGCCATCCAGTTCTGAGTCCCTGCCTGCTTTCCATGAACGTATCTAAAGGATTTCACCCTGCTCTGAATCCCAGTTCACTTTGACTGAACTCACAAAGATCCATTGTCTAGAGCTGTACAAGAGCTAACACAAAAATTGCCATTTTACCAGAAAATTCTTCTAAGAGTAAGTTTAAGAATGCTAGAAACAAGTAAAGTTACTTAGAGTGCAACAACACAGAGCAAGAAAACCTGTGTAAGTTTTGTGATTAATTAACCTGACCAATACATTTAAACAAGGCGCCAGCATTCATTTTTCCTCCCACTGATCCGCGCACAATGTAGTGCAGACTTAGGCATACTAAAAACTTCAGTGCTTCTAACTTCTACTCACCTAAGCTTAGAAAAGCTTCACAGTTCAACTGACACAGTTCAACTTCACAGGCCCCGGAAATTTATTGTTTCATGGAAAAATGTAAATTTACCATATAATTAAMATTATTAWAATGTACTAAATAGCCATGTTTATACCCATTATTTTAATACTCCCTCAGCATCCCAGGAGATGAATTTAGTAAAACRAGCATTCCAAAAAGTTTAGTTTAATCTCATGTTTACAGCAAACATCCTGCTTCTATGTCAGACAGCAGAGTGGATTTGGAAACAGTTATTATTATACCAGGATGCAGTCCATACAGGGAGAAGGCAGCTGAGCTGACTGTTTTACCTTGCAGTTCACAGTTCCACTGTAAAAAAGCCAACAACAACAAAACTCCACCACAACCAAACAAGAGACACCTGTACAAGACACCCTCACCCCTTAAGGCAAGAAGTTACAAAGAACCCTGTCCACTCCTCTCSTCCCCCAGGGCAGCAAGACACAACTCTGGCAACAATTACAGGACTTGGTCAGTACTGCTGCCTGGCACATGGAATGCCTGTAGAGGGCAACAAGTAAGAAACCATTAAAAAAGAGTGAACCAACCAAAAATGGAAACAAGAAATCCAGAATCTTCATTTGTGGAAAAAAAGTAAATTGAGTAACAAAACCCAACGTGAATAGGCCACCCTGACTCCTCTGGCTGATGCGCTCCTGCTTATCTGTCTGATCTMTGATCAAGGGGGACTTATTCATGATCTTTCCTTAAAGCAAATGAACATTTTTCCTAAATGCAACAACTCAGGTGTCCAAATTGGGAATTGTGTCATAAAYATGTGGAACACTGTCACTCTCCTAAAAGCAACCATAAAAGGCTATTTTATACAAAGTAAAAATTCCTATCTTAATTTTTGAAAATGTATGATCTGTGTATGATTAAGCAATTAAAAACACTGAAAGCTCCAACCAAAAACTAAGTTTCAGACAAATAATCGCATGCAATCAAATGATTCCATAGGGAAAAGAAAATAGTTTGAAGTTTCTACACATTTCCCCTGAAGTGTTCTTGGAGTCATGATAACTTTATTTAAGCCACACAGAAAAGAAAAAAAAAAAAAGCGTCTCATCAAAGAAAAGAGCAAGTTCTTTTTTCGAGTGTTGACAGGCTGTTAGAGATTCGGACTACATTTTAAGACAGAAAAAAACTTCTAATCAGAAAAATTAAAGTTCTAATAAAAATTGGCTGCAATGTAGCTATGAATGGCTTCAGATACACTAGATGACCTTCATGATCTTTGTTAAGTACTGAGTCTTCCCTAATATGAGTGGGATTTCTGTATTCATTCAGAGCAAACAGAAAACATAAATGAAACCTACAACTAGTAACTGTAGGAGTGAAATGCATATGCATGAATTATTTCTTCCCTAGCAGCTAAATAAATAAAGGAGAATAATGATTTCATTAAGTCTAAAGTAAGAAAAGCCAAACATCCATTCAAATGTATTTTATTTAAAAGAAAATACAATTTAAACCTGCTAATACCCTCAACTACAGTTTTATTTTAGATCTATTTTGAAATAGACAATAATCATATGCAAAATACAACAAGTTTTGACAAAGCTAAGGAATTTCTCACTAATCCTTCCACTGCTGTTACACTGAATAAGACAAAGGAAAAGCTGTTGACAGAGAATGTTTTCAGGACAAGCTGAGGAGGTGCTTTACAAATGCTATTAGAGAAATGGAGCACTTCCTACTTAAGGAGCACAATGCTARAACATAAACCTCACACAGCTAAGTTGCAAATTATGGCAATGCATTCCCTTCAAAGCATCACTCAAAGGTTTAGAAACAGTAGATGCGCTCCTGGAAGTCTGGAAGTCCAGAGCATCGGCTTGGCCAAGCTGCACCTCCTCCACAGCCAGCGGCACAAGRGCAGCTCAGGCTCACACGGGTGGCTGCTCCCGGCACTCAACCCGCGCTGACATTTCAGTCGATTCCAGGCCACAACTGCGACGCCTCTGGACTGGGTACAACGCAATCACCACCCTCGTCCCACGCAACCTCAGCTCACAAACCTCACTGCACCAGTAAGCTCAGCACACATGCAAAACAAACCAAAAACCTGGTATTTATTTCCTGAGGACAGTCCACGTACTGCTAGTAACTCCTGCATCCTCGTTAATAAGATGATGGTTTAAYATAAGCTGTTCCCTCTCCCCCAAATATATTCCAAAACTTCTAATGGGCGTAAGAAAGAATACCTTCAGTAATGTAAATTTATCTATTAAAAAAATCAATACCAAAACACATTAGCCCTCTAACTAAAACTTCCGTTTTACACAAAAGCAAAGCTTTGCATGCCTTCTCCCCAGGCCCAGCCAAGAAAAATTAGCAAACTGTATCAATCTGGGGAAGACAGGAGAAAATACCAGAGAGAGAAGTTGTCTGGGTAAGCTGCTGTAGTTTGAAAGTATAAATCCTAAAAAGACAGCTCTGATGGAGAATAAAGGGAACTCTACAGTTTACAGACAGAGAAAATATTATCAGTATTGCAATCTAAACAGTGCTGCCAATAAAAGTAGCAATTTAAATTTCTCCTCCGACAGAGATTGTTCAAGAAAATTTTATACCAATTTAATTTCTACCTCCAACACACTCTTCTTCTCCATGCTGAGAAGTCAGCATGGGAGCCAAGAGGAGTAAACGAAGTTAGACCAGTGTTGTACAATAGTTAAAATTTCAGTTGCTGGAAATTTAAAAAAAAAACATTAATCACAGAGACAAGATCACTAAATACATTTACTCACTGGTCCAACAAATCTTCTTTGACAACGTAATCCATCAAATTAAATGYTATTTTAACTACCAAGCTSTTGATCACCAGATGAACATAAAATCCCGACCTGGAGTACAAGGATCTCCAAAGAGTTAACAAAAATTAAGGTCAGCAGGCAGCAGTGACTGCAACCTCTGCTGCAGGACCTGAGAGGCAGCTGTTTGCTTCATTACAAGATGAAGCAGAGTTGTTCCCTCTGCGTCAACCTCTTGTTCCCATCACTTTTTGACACTTTATACCCTAAAAACTCTGGGGTTTGATTATCGACTATATAGTACCACAAGCCTGACCATCCGCATATTAGCACTGTTGCAAACTTAGTTTTCATGTTAGTGTGTCTAAAGAAGAAACGATTTTTTATTATCAGAATTTTAAACAAATTTGTCCAGTATTTTGGATCACTTCTAACTTCTTTGTTAGCAGGGCGTAAGCCTGCAGCACATGCTTTCAGCAGCCAAGGAGAGCTCCCACAGCAATACAACATAGCGTTGGTGCAAACAGAAACGCRGGTCATAAACCACTCCCCAGCCCGCTGCCCGCTCTGAAGTGCAGCAAATACCGACGACAAACACTGCTCCTTACCTGGAAGGGTCAATTTTCAACTCAGCTCGGACCCTGGCAACAGCGAGTTCAAAACACCCGACCTCTGCCGACCTCACCCACAACAAACCTCCTGATCCTACGCCGAGTCATAAACACCGAGCAGAACGTAACTAAACTGCTTCCAGTTTAGGGGGAGAAGAACAGCGCGCTTGGCTTAGAATCATAAAGGGTGGAAAATGCCTCTGAGATCATCCAGTCCAACCATCCCTCCAAAAAAGCCACTGTATCCCGTAACCGAAAGCCACATCCAGACGCTTCTTAAACGCCTCCAAGGATGGTAACTCTACCACCTCCCTCGGCGACCTATTCCAATGCCTGACCACCTCAAAAGTGAACATTTTTTTTGTACTATATAATCTGAATCTCCCCTGTCTCATGTTAAGGCCGTTTTCTCTGGTCCTCTCGCTGCAGGCACGCAAGAGAGTCTGGCTCCCCCCTGAACACAACCTCCTTTCAAGGAGTTACACAGAATGGAAAAAAGGAGGACACAATAACGCTCACAAGCCGCCCAGGCAGTACCCTGCGACGAAAAGCGCTTTAAGGAGAAGGTCTGTTTAACGAACGGAGGCTCGCCTCACCTTCTGGAAACTGATACCACCGCGAGCAAGTAATGGAAATCCGGATTTTTTTTTTTTTTTCCCCTTGCGGCGAACAGACGATAACGCGAGCTGGGAACGAAGGTCCCGGGATCTGCCCCACTCCGAGTCCCGTGGGGAGCCCCGGGCAGCCGCTCCCTCCCCGAGCTCCCTGTGATCCCCGAGCCCCGCCAAGGCCAGGCAGAGCCTCGCGGCGCCCGGGACCATTCCAGCACTGTGGGGCCTGCACTCCCGCCCGATCCGCGAGGCCCCGGCACCAGGGACGCCGCTGCCGAGCCCCGCGGCCCGGCCAGGCGCCCGCTCCCTGCTCTCCCTGCCTCCCGCATGGCCGCGCMGACCCTGGGCGCGTCTGCCCCGCACTCACCCGCCGGTGGCTCCTCAGCGCGGCCGCTGCTCCCGCCCGTCCTGTCCCCTCCTGCGGCTCCCGCCGGGACAAACGGCAGCGGCCGCAAACAGGAAGCGCCGCCAGCGCGCGCCGTCACTTCCGCCCCGCCGCTTCCGGAAGTTTCTGGAACGGCCCCGCCGAGCTTTCCG